GATGTGCTCAAGAAAGGTGCAGTAAGTGCTGGGAGATTCTTCACTAGTCAATGGAAGCTCAGTGTCAGGACTGCCTAACTGGAACCACTAAACTAGTAATACTAACTAAACTAGTAATTTTACTTACTCAGATGAAATTTTGGACTTGCAAGGAAACTGTAAGAGAGCTTGGTAAGTTAATACTGGCTGGGCATCCACTATGTGGTTAATTACCAAGGTGATTCACAGAACTACCAAAATCTTCCTGCTGGTGATGCTTTTGCAGGGCATCAGCCAGCAGAAGAGGTCACTGAAGCTAGATGTTAATAGCTGGATTTGTAGACTGCTGCTCATGCTATGTGCAAATTGTCATCATCTTTGGTATTAGATCCAGTAGCACTCTAATCTTTCATGTGTTCAGTTCTTTCAGGTGTTTTGGGCCCAGAAAAATTGCAAATTATAAGCAATCTTGAACAAACAAAAGTCTCTAGTAAATCTTTTTTATATCTATCAGGGGCCTGTTGTATCTCTGGGCTAGGTTGCTTTACTCTAGATTGGTCCAGGTATTCTGCTTACACAGCACCTTCTCAGAAAGGTCAAATCTAATTTTCCTCTCTGCAGTGTTCCCTCAGAGTACAACAGGTCAGCTCTGCCTGCTGCCCACCTTGCCTTCTGAAGGAAAATAATGTACAAAAGTGAAGGGCTGTCTAACCCTAGCTGTGGCATATTGACCTGCAGCTGCTTCCACAAATCTGAGCAGTTCCACAGAGGGCACCATGGCCTTGTTTCTAAAAGGTCATTTCAGAGCTCAAGAAGGGCATGCTTAGCTTTGCCAGAAGAGTAGATTCTGACCTTTTGGCTCTTGGATTCATTACCTGGAATGCTGAGCTGAAAGAAAGCATCCTCCAAAAAAGTGCTTGAGAAATTGCATCTTCTCAATATCTATCTAAATAGAGTTTCCAAGCTCTTCATAGCTTAAAGTCTCTTTGGATTGCAGCTGGGAGAAATGGTTGTTTTTACAGTTCTTAAAACACAGGAGGTTTTTCAGTGTTAAGGGTGCTTGAGATCCTCGAGTAAATGTTACAGTGCACCTTGATTCAAGTTTCAGAAATACTGAGTGCAGTCCAGTTTCAACTAGATTTCCATGCACTCCATAAAAATCTCTATGAATATACAGTCACTGTTTTGCTGCTAAGAAGGCAAATGTGATTGCACATCTTGTGTGCAGAATTCTGATGTGACTAAAATTTATCAAGACTTTTTCAGTACAGTGAACACACAAAGGGAGAAGTTTGTTGGGAACTTCATTATGAAAAGCTGTTCAAGCAGCTTTGTGTTCATGTAAATTGAAATACATTCCTATAGCGCATCTTATCATCTTGTTGCTATCATAGTTGAATTAATCTATTATCATCAGTTTCTCTCCTTTACTGTTCACTGAGCTGCTACCTTTAGATCAGTTGCATCTTCTGCTTGAATATCACATTGGCTCTTCCATTGTAGTGCCAAAACTTATTATGCTTCTCTATTTGTTAAACTTAACTCCTGGAAAAGAAACCACATATTCTTCCTGGCAAACCTTCCTGAGGGATGAAGGTATTTGTATTGCAAAACCAAGTCCCCAACTCCCTACTCGTGTTAGGAGGTGGTAGGTGCTCAGTGACACAATCTGTTCTGCAGTGCCTCCTGCTCTTCTGTGAACTTACCTTCAAAATATTTCAACCCTATGAGCATGACCCGGCTCTGACCTTCACAAGTAATGTTATCCAATATTTAAGCCACGTGCATGAGCCTGTAAAATCTTTGGAGTCTGGTTAATATTAAAAAAAAAAAAAAGCAAAACCTACACAGAAGCATTTTTTTGAGATATGGAGAATACTTTGTTAGGGGAGGGGATGGTGCCACTGAAGCACAGCAGTAATTGCAGGTATAAGAGTTCTCTTTAGGCCATTATCACTATTTACTGCAATGTGTTTGCTGCTTGATGTTAATGTTGGAATTGAAATATGTAATATGCTGTTCTGAGACTGAGGTTTGGTTTTTAGACCTGAATCTGTAAACTGGGTCACTGTTATTCAGCTTCTACTTCTGATTTTTTATTGGCCCTGTTGAGAATATTTGTTTAAGGATGCCTCTGTCTGCTTCTCAACAACAAGAGCATTCATAATCTGGAAAACTCTGAAATACAAAGTGGCTTATTCAGTCCTGTGTTACAGAACACGCTGAGAGAGATGGAAAAGTAATTTCTCTGCTTTCTACTGCTATGTGTTTACACAGCATTGGTGCACTTGAAGTTTTGAAAGAGTTTGCCATGCTATGGGATAGGACGTCCTGGAGAAGCTGCCTCTTTGAAGATCCATGTTTTAATGGATTAATTTTTAAGAAGAGTCTCTCAGCTGGACACCCTAATTTCAAAATTCCTTGATTTAGTAGGTGCTTCTCACAGTCTGAGAAGTCTGATCTGAATTTCTAGGAAATAAGTTCAAGTTATTAGGAGGCAGGTCTTGCGTTTCCTTGAGTTTCAAGGAGCAGGTTGAACACGTGAAAAAGCCAGCACACACCTGGTGACTGCTGTGTGCAGAGTCCCCTGTGGTCGCCTGGGGCACAGTGCTAAAAGTTTGGATTGTAAACAGTCATTGGGTCATTGTGTAGAAGTTGTTAGAGCAAAGACTTGGGTTATTTTCAGCAGATTTGGATTAATATTCCCTCCCTTCTCAAGCTTTGTTTGTTTGCTGAATCTTGCAGATCCCACAAAAAAAAATGTATGCTGTTCTTAGTTTGACCAAGAAATCTGTCAACACAGGTTCTGAAAATTGTTTTGCCAAACAATTTGTTTTGAGTTCATGTTGTTTTGGTTTTCTTGGACTCCTAAAAAAGTAATGATTCTTGGTGTCATGATATCTTACCTCCAGGTGAACATGATTCTTTAGTAAAAGTAAAAATCAGGAAAAAATAGAGAATATACTTGTTTGTTGTTATAGTTAGACTAATTTGAAAATTGATTTTTTAAAAATATTTTTTGTGCTTGAATTCAAATGTCAGATTGTTCATGGTTTATTCTTAAATAATTTGAGATGAGATTTTTGGGTGTGTCTTGCTTGTCTTGCGGCAGCACTCTAGTGATCTCTTGGCATTTCAGGGTAATGGTTAGTAGGTACATTTTCAGCCTCTGTAAAACATGGGAAGGTTAACGAAAAGACAGCTTTGTTATGAAATGCAGTTTTCATACTCCTACTGCAGGTATTGATTTCTGAAACTTGTGGTAACGTTTGAAACTGTTTTGATAATTTATCTGTTTTCAAGTAACCTAACAAATATTTTATTTTTCTTCCACTTTTCATTTCTTTTAGCTGGGATGTGACAGCAAACATAAGAAGAACTGTTGCAACTTGATTTTTCTCCTGGTCTTGGAAAGTCTAGTTTTTGTTTTGCTTGTAACTCTGATTTAATGGGAAAATTGTTCATTGGCCACAGATGACTACTACTGAGAGGCTTTCCGAATCTGTTTTGGATTACAGTGAGGTAGTAAAAAAGTGTTATGATGACACCAGTTCCACTTGAGGTTCCTTTTATCCTCAACAATAATGGGTTTGTCTGGCACTGAGTGCTGCAGTTACGCAGAACAATTTAAAACATTTCTCAGTCATCGTAGGTCACATGTTCTTTATATGTATTAAACAGTGATGAAAAAGAGCCAGTAATTCACATCTTTATTTTCCTCAAAGATTATAACTTTTCCAGTTTTTCAACAATCACTGCTCTCTAGGAAGAAGGGGCATGGAAATGCTCTGTACAGTGCACAGGTTCTGCTCCCCACCAGAAATGAATCCAGAGTGCAAAACACAATGGGAGCCCTGATCCAGTGAGACCCAGGCGTGTACTTAAAATAGGAAATGGTTATTGGAACTAAATTATTTTGCCATTTTTATTTTTAGGTTTGCTGGCATGGGTAATCTCATTAAGGTGCTAACAAGGGACATAGACCACAATGCAGCACATTTTTTCTTGGATTTTGAAAGTAAGTCTCTCAGCCCTTCGGAGCTGGTGCATTTCAAATGGTAACAGTAGGGTTGCTTATACCTGCTGCAGTGAAGGCCAGGGTACTCAATTGCCAAGTTGGAATTGGAAAGACTTGCATGCAGTTTTTGTGGTTGTTTTTTTCTTTTTTTTTTTTTCCCTTTTTCCCCCTCTCCAGTAGTAGCCAAGCCACCATCATGCTGCTGTGTCAATTTTCTTTCCATGTGCTTAGTCATTTTGGGTCTCTGTGGTCAGTGATGTCCACCCATCTGCCTGCAAATCAAGTAATCATGAAATGAGAAATTCTGTCAGTATGCCATAGTAATCTGTGCTGAGCAGTTGTTCACTGTAATCCTCTCATACACAAGAGTGAGTGCTGAATCATTCCTGATCCTGCTTTGGTCATTCCTCGTGCAGTTAATGTGTTTTTTTTTACATCCAAAAGTCTGAAGTGAAACTGTCTGAGTTTCACAAATGTTTTAAGCACCTTGTGTATAAGGTCTGTGGCATTTCTCTGTTAGCATTTTCTGCACACTGAAATGATGTATCATAATGTGTTTTCTGTGATGGTTCTGACACAATTATAAGGGCTGACAAAATTAAAGCTCTTTCCTTCTGCTGTCCCATCAGGTTAAAATCTAGCATGGCTAATGCTTTCCAATCTGGTACTTGGCCCTCGCGGCAGTACTCCTGCTCAGGACACTGGTGCTAGGGTGTACTGGGACAGAACAGTCCCTGGCAAAGGTTTTGGTTGGATTCTGCCCTTTTCCCAAAGGGGCAGCTGTGAGGATGTTGGTGACACGGTCACTCCTTCCAGGAAAGCTGCACTGCCGGGGTCCCCAGCGCCTCCTCGAGGCGGGGATGTCCCTGCACCCAGCCTGAAGGACGGGTTCTTACCTGATGGAGCTCTCTGGTCTTCTTTCCCACTGCTTCAATCAACTACATTTGGGCTGTTCTTCTTTATAAAAAGAAAATTTTCTTTTCTCTCATTCTTGTCTTGGCAGGTACCTTAACATGGGGAACCTTCTAAAAGTTTTGACATGCACAGACCTTGAGCAAGGGCCAAATTTTTTCCTTGATTTTGAAAGTGAGAAGATGATTTTATATATCTATTACTCTTTGCCTGCAGTAGACTGCATTTGTCTTGTACTAAATGTATGTTTTCATTTTGCCATCCTTCTGACTGCTTTGCATGCATGAGCTATGGATAATTGTTCAGTGAACTTTGGTAGAAAGCAGTAACCTGTTCTAAAATATCCTCAGGTCCTAAAATGTAAAATCTTTATTTCGGAAAGGGCTTTCAAATTACATTTGACTGTTGAAATTTGGTCCTTCTTTTTTAAACCAAAATTCTTCCTACTTTTTATCAAAATGTTAAGAATAGTTGTAATTATTTGAAGACTTACTGAAGTTGCAACTGACTTACTCAGATTTGTGAGTTTTGTTCCATGCTCCTTAAAGGAAGAACTGAAAATGAAACCTGATTCTCATCACTTCCAATGTGAATTAATAATGCTGCATAGACAGACTGGCTCACAACAGCTATTCATAGCTCCAGCATCATCATGTTAAAGGTTATATGTGAACCTTACTGGATCTGGCACTGAAATTTAACCTCATGCCTTCTTAAAAGGGAGTCTCAACATGTACAGAGATTAAATTGATTTTGAAAAGAAGAGACATGTAGCTTGTGTGATCAATGCCAGGTGTTCTAGAAGGTTCACATATGTCAGTATTTCTGCTTCTGGTTTTTGTTGCATGATACAGTATAGCCTAAGAATGGCAGGTAAGTGTTGCTGGCTTCTGCTATGCATGTTTAATTACTTTCTTTTGGGATGTGCTGTTTCTTTGGCCAGCTGTACATCAGCAAGCATAAAATAAGAAGATTATTGTTCGATTACATTTTAACCATGTAATAGAATACAGTGGAATAGTGCCTTAAAAACTGATAAAGTATTATGATATGGATAATTTGAGGTGCATTAAATCTTTGTTCCCCTGAATTGTTTTTCAGTTGTTTGATGAATCTGTAGCAGTTTTTAATATTACTTATAACATGAAAGTAAATGCTTGAAGAAATAGGGTTTTGCTTCAGTGACATTTAAAGTTACAACTTCTCTAAGCTGTTACCCTGTTGTGTTACTTTTTATTACTTGTCTCTTCTGAATATATTGTTATTGGAAGATGTTAGCCATACAAATTGTTCATAAAGGGAAGATTATCAAGGCCTGTTTTGAAAACTCAGAAAGCAAAATTAATCTAAGACCAATTCTTGTGTATCATCACATTAGGTGAAATCTAGTGAGGTGGGAGAACTTGTGTATGAGGCCATTGGAGTTGTAAAGCTCCAGCTTAATCTGCAAATATTGAAAATTTAATTGGAGTAAAGTAAATGCACATTAGTTGGATAGAAGAGGCATGGTTCCTAAATTGCAATAAAAATGCTCCTTTTTTTCTTTTTAAATACAGATTTTTTTAGCCATCAGTTTTGTTTTAAAATGCATGTTTTGAGCATGAACAGGATTTGGCATGAGAGTAAGCAGGTTGCTGACATGAAATGCTTTCATATGCAGTCAAATTAGGTGACTTATATTATGGCTGAATTGTTAGACTGTTCTTTGTTCATTTTGGACCCTGTTCTGCATTTGTTTTTGCTGCTATACTGTCTATCCATGCTTCTTTCTCCTCTGTTTCAGATAGCTTGCCTTGACAGGATCTTGGCTTTGACACAGCCAAGATCTTTCTTCAAGACTTGGCACTTAATCTTGTGATACTTAATGTTGTGGTTTTGTGTGGAAGGACAAGTAAGCTCTGTATTAAAAACAAATTTGCCAATTCTGTGTTGTGCCTGACTCAATAATAGGCAGTTTGAAGTCTTTTGTTCTTAAATCCATGTATGTGAGCAGGCTCCAATGTTTCTTACTTAGTACCTTAAAGAACTAAAACCTAGTGTTCATGAAGCTTTGTAGTGCTAGAAACTTCAGATTTTAGACTTCTAACCATTGTTATTCCCCCAGATGTTTATCTTGGTGCTAGATGCCAGTGATTGGTGTGACTGACTATCAGAATCCATGTTAAAAATATGGTGAGCTGTACTCTTTTCCTTGCCTCTGCACTGGTTAAGCTTGTGCTTTCTTTGGCCATTCACCTCACTTGTTTGATAGAAATAGTTCTCCTGAGTATTCTTTTAAAGTCTGTGCAGTACCATCAGAACACAAGCAAAGTGCACAGGTCAATTTTGTTTACATAAAACAGCCACCTCAAATGTGGGAAACTTACACCTCAACTTTTACATTGGTGTCTTTACTGACACAGTTGCAAATCTTTTCCAAATTTACTGATTGGAATAGTAGCTAAAATACAGTGTTCTTTGAGATGGTGATATCAAGCTAGCGCTGACAGTATCCTGCATTATCTCCAGAGGACTTGGCCAGGTTTCAGAGGAGCCACAGAGACAGCATTCTCCATAGTAATGCCAACAGAGATGAATAAATTATTTCATCTCCAGCAGTCTGGCATTTTTTCCCCTTGTTTGTGAGTTTTGTCCCAGGCAGTTTCAGATGACTTGATGTGTTCTTCCCTGGGAAAAATCTCAGCTTAAGTAGTTTGCTGTGCAGTGTAAACTTTTAACCCCAAATTTCTCTCCCTACTAGTTCTGTAGGCTAGCCAAATATTATTTTAATAGTCACTAAATGTGTGTGTTCCCCGCATGCAATATGTTGTCTCACTTCTGTAGTATTTAGTTCACATAACAATGTTTGTATATTGTTTCCAGTCTCCTCTTCTGTCTCTTACTGTGTGAGCATTCTGAACTCTAAGTGTATATTGCATCTAGTGCAGTAACATTCTGATTAAACACAAATTTATTTAAAGATGAACTCCCATTTACTTGCAGAACCTCAGTATTTTTTTACTATTGCATTAAAAATAGTAAAGTTGCCCTGAATAACCAGGGCTCAGCTGCTGTAGCCACAGTTTCAAACCTCAGAACATCTGGGCGAGCTGTGATGTGCTTACTGGGTTTGTTCTTTGCGTGGAAGGCATTGCTGATAAAGGCACAGCCCTGTTGTAACCTTGTAGCAGGAACTTAAATGGTCAGGGGAGAAGGGAAATCCATGAAATTGTGTATCTCCATCCATCTGTTTGGATGCCTGCACTACTGGCTGCTTTTTCTTAGCAGCCAAGAGTAACTCCAGAAGTGCAACTCCCTCTCCTGCTCTGTGCACTCCACCTTGGGAAGAGGAGTTCCACAATTAGTGATTCCCAGGTGAAGGTCCTGTAGCCTGAGCCCTCAGGTACACACTGAGGGGTGCTATTCCCATAGGATGGGAATGCTGCCTCCATATTTTCAAGATGGTGACAGTGTTTAGGCAGAGGGACCTCTCCCTCTTTCTTCCCTGTATGGGCTTTCAGAATACAATGCCCTGACCAGCACTGGGAAGCAAATAAACCAATTTCGCTCTGGGTCAGCCAGCATTAGGCCCTGAAGATCTTTTATATCATGCATTTTAACCCTATTCTAATAACATCTTAAATGGTTTGTGAAGGGATTATAGAATCATTTAAATTTGCTTTTTAAGTTTGACCTCTCTTTTAGAGATGGCCGAGGAAATGAGTTGGGACAAATCAGGTTTACGGATGGTTTTTTATTAGAGAGGAATAGGTTGACCAAAAATGAAATACACACCAGAAGAAATAACTCTGTACCTAGTTGATTTTCAAATAGATTGATGTCTAGAAGTTTGTAATAATCAAAAGAAACAAATAAAAAACCCCACCACCCCAACAAATGAAATATCAAGCATTGCTTTAAGTTTCCTGGAACATTTTAAGGAAATGAAATACAGTTGTTGGCTGTTTACATCCTGTGCTAAGAGAGGTGATGATGGTGTTGATTTGCCTAGCCAGCTGTCCAGTGAAAGCCACTAAATTTGTATCTGGGAGATGATTTTAATTTCTAAACATGGAGGGTCATAGTACTGCAGCTGTTCTGCTTGGTGGTGGATTTTGAAATGAGGAGCAGGAATTCTTTTGGGCTATTCTGCTCTGCCCCTCCCAATATTGAAAAATGAACTCTCCTTACTACACAGGGTAAAGAAAAAAAATGGCATGAAAAATTAAACAGGCAGGAGATGTTCTCAGTGTGAGACAATCCAAGTGACAAGTCTTGATTGCATTATTTAACAGCACAATCTGGAACGCTACAGAGCTTCACGTCTCATTCTGTATTTCACTGTAACATTTCATGTTCGTGCATGAACTGCTGCCAGTCAGCTGGTGTGCTTCCCTGTCTGCTCTTTTCCCTCATTTTTTGTCTTCATTTCTTACAGCAGTCTTCAGCAGCTTTCAAAATTATGTGACCTTTGTGGTGATCTGAAAAGCACTGGCCACTTTTACTCGATGCCTAATCAATGTGGTGCTCTTTTATTTATTTATTTTAAAAAGAATGACCAGGTTCTTTAACCTGTGCTAATTCTTGATGTTTCTCAAAATACCAGTTAAACTGTTGCAAGGTCTATATATAGGCATATTTGCTAATAATGCCCACTCTTTATGCATTAAACTATAAAAATAAGAGGTATTATGCAAAAATTACAGCAAAATCCAGACAGGCAATGTATATGAAATTTATTTTCTCCTAATACAAACATTGTTTTCTCTTGTGTTTTTCTAGTGTGTAACACTAAGATACTGTGGGAGTTTTATTTCAAATGTAAAGATGTACCTAACTTCCATGGGAAGTTGTACATATGGATCATGGAAAAAGCACGTCTAAAAAGACATTTTCCAGACTCTTCAAAATGCACAAAGTCATGAGGATATATTGTCCTTAGATAGTTTCTGTCTGTCCCTATAAAAAATAATCTATTGTTAATACCCTCATTTTTGGCATTGGAAATAATGGACTAAAATACAATGATATTTATTCCATAACATATTTTGCCCATGTTAAGAGAGAAGTGGGGTTTTTTACAAGAGCTTTAATAGCTAACAGTTTCTTTGATTTTTTTAAAATATGAGTCTAAAAGGAACTAACCTTATTGCTTTCATCAGCATTCTAAAAGAAAAAAAATTGGTTCAGGTAAACTATGTCTGAGATACTTGTCCTAGGTGATTGTTTTTAAAGGTTAAAACCTTTTGTTGATTCTTCTCAAAACATACTTCTTACCAAATCACATTTCTTTAAAAATGTGCATGTAGCTTTTTGAAATTATGACCCAATATATTTTTGGGAAGCCCTTAGCTAATTAGAAGAAAATGGGAGACAGCTTATACCTTTAAAGACAGGGGACAAAAGAAAAAGGGCCTTCGCAGGCTCACACTACATCTTTTTTTTCTCAGCTCTGATTGTGTGAATAGTGCAGTGAGGAATATGTTTTGAGAATTAAATATATTTAGAAGTAAAATATATGACTCTTTTCCCAAGCAGTTAAAGATGAGTAAGACAAGATGGAAAATAACCTGATGCAGTGTTTCTAGATAATAATAAACATGGACACCTCCTGTGCTATCTGCAGTGAGAGTGTCTTTTGAGTGCTTACCTAAGTTTCTTCCAGTGAGCCTCTGCTGCACCCCAAGGTGAGATTATATGATAGTCATAAAGACAACTCATCAGGATTTCTTCTCCTCACTCAGTTTTAAATAAATCAAGAAGATAGAATCCAGGTGAATTTTTGGGATGGTAAAAGAAGAGACTACTAAAATGAATACAATTAGTCTCTTGGAGTTTCTTATACATGGTAGTAGCTCTTCAGAGAATGTAAATTCTTGATGAGTTGCTGCATGAAGAATTTGTCCCATAGGTGATGGTGTGCCTGTTGAATTCCGTGTTGTTGTTAAAAATAAATATATATACATTTAATATGTTCTGCTGTTTAGATGCCCAACCTACAGAATCTGAAAAGGAAATTTATAATCAGGTGAATGTAGTGTTAAAGGATGCAGAAGGAATACTGGAAGACTTGCAGTCATATAGAGGAGCTGGCCATGAAATACGAGAGGTGAGCTAGAGCGTTTCAATTGTGCACAGCCTGTGGTTGTTCATTGTCTGATCCTAACAAAATACTGCTGGGGTTTAACTTTGCTTGCAGGAGCTGTTTTGGCAGAGCATGTTGTCCTTTAAAATCACTGTCTTGAATTTCTGCTCTGGAATGTTTCTTTTTAACAGCAAAACAGATGTTGCTTGTTTCAGTCATATTAATCCACATATGTAATAGCAAATGATGCTTCTCAGAGTTTTTGGGGTATTATGAATTATGAATATTGATTTTTCTTTGTGTTCCCACATAAGCTCTTCTTGAGTTAATAGTGAATTTGGAAAGAGTGTGGTGTGACTGCAGTGCAAAACTGAATATTGTTGACATCCTCTTGTATGATAACTGGAGAAGCCTGGTTTGGTAATCCTAACACAAAAGGCATCTCATTTTCACTCCCTTTTAATTGGCTTTTATTTACTAAAGTAGATATTTGGAACAGAAGCAAAGTTCCTGTACAGAATGTCATTCAGATGTTTCTTTGTTTAATAAAGGGTGGAATAAATATTCTCCCAACCCCCTTTATTGTCTTCCTCACATGCAGCAATGGGGGCTTTGCTCATGAAGGAAGGAGTTACTCACTGTAACATATCCTTAAGAAATAGTATTAGATAGGAGTATTAGATTACTATTTACTCCATAGCAATTTGAGATACTCAAAGCCATTCACCTTTGAGAGTTTTTCTCTCCATGGAATTGATAAGGTAGGTTTAAGAGGGATGACTGTGTCACACAAACCCCTTAGGAGGGGAGATAGTTTACTATCCATGTTCAGAGACAGGCTGTAGGATCAGGCAGGAATGTGTGTGTGCAGATGCCATGGAGAAATGAGAGATACTTCTCTGAGAGGAGGTAGACATGGCAGGAAGGAAACTTTCTAGGACCTGAGAGGAGTGTGCTGCAAGCCACAGCCCATGGTTAACTGAAACAGTTCTTGAAATCAAGAACCCGACAGTGAAAGTGCTGCAGGAGAGTTATGAGCATCTTTATTTCTGTTTTCGTAGTATATTTTCAGTTGCTAACTGGAGAGGTTGAATTTAAGGTATTAAATGTCTGGGAAGTTTACTGTAAAGACAAAGTCTGTAAATATATCCTTCAAAACTGTGGTATATGCTTTGTACTGGTGGTGCTTTTTGTTGTTGATTATTCTTACATGTTCCTGCTGTAATAGCTAGCCTGAATTTCACAGTAATTTTTGTCTTTGCAAATTTGGGAATTAGTGATAGATATCAACATTAAGATGAGGCTTTGATCGCTAATTTTTTTTTTTTTGCTTGGAGTAAGCACAGTAAAGTTGTTAATTTTAATTAACTAGGTCTGGTTATGTAAATTGTCTTATCTGAGTAATTTGATTTTTAACCATTTCTTTATACTCTCTCCAAGTTGTTTTCCTGTTCAGGATGCTTACTTTCAACACAAATTTTTAGACCTTTTTGGAACAGACATGGGTTAGTACATACTTGTCTCTCAACTGAAAACTTCTTAGTAGGTAGATATTTAATTATTAGCTCTTCAAACAATTGTCTTGCATAGGTGTTTTGGTTTTTTGTGTTTTGTTGTTTGGGGTTGTTTTGTCAGCAGTGCATCAGTTATTCCCAATCCAAGCATCTTTTTCTCCTCTCTTTTTCCAATTTAAGGCAATACAGCATCCAAATGATGAGAAGCTGCAAGAGAAGGCATGGGGTGCAGTTGTTCCACTAGTAGGCAAACTAAAGAAATTCTATGAATTTTCTCAAAGACTAGGTAAGTGGAAAGGTGTTAACTTGAGGGTTTTTTTCTCTTAATTTATGAGTATATTTGGCATATTCAGATGTGATCACATCTAGATCAACTCCTTTGTGGAAAAGAGCTCATATTGCCCAGATTCCTCCATACGTTGGATGACAGCAATCTTGCTTCAGTGGATGTCTGAGAGGGGAGAGAGAATGGGATCATCCTTGCTGCTCTTCCTCTACTCCTTTAGTAACTCAGGAAGGCAGTAACCAGCTGATTGTCTGGAAATGAGTAAATTAAATAATCAGAAATTGATTCTGTCAGTGTTTCTGATACCAAGAGTAATTAAAAGAGACTGTATTATTCCGCCCTAAACACCAGAAATAATTTGCTATGTGGAAGTGCCTGATCTTGGTTCATACAAATGCAGTACTTGAGAAGGTGCTTCATGCCTCTTCTGAAACTCACTGATGTGATGGCTATGCTGATAAAACCTGAGACTTGTTTTTTTACCAGCTTTCTGTTGTTATCTCACTTTAAATCAAATTTATTAACATAGCTTGTATAAAATGTGTTTAAAGCACAGAAACTTGTTGCAGGCAAGTTCTGCTTTTTAAAATGGGTGAGGTGTTTTTCTCAAGATGAACAGGAAGCTGGATTATAAATTTGTCTTAAGTCATTACTTCTGCTTACAGCTATGTGCCTCTTGAATTCTGTGTTCTCCTAGAGACTGAAGTCTGCTAACACAGGTTATTGAAATATGTTCTACACAAATGTTGCAGACAAAGCTTGAGTAGAAATTTTCAAGAAGTTTTTTTTTGTGGCTGTCAATGCTGATGGATTATTGTCACAGACATCTTTTGTGAAAAATCCTTTCTTGGGATTTTTCTCCCTTCTGAGAAGCTGTGGCCTCAGCAACAAATTGTAAACAATAGTTAAATGGAATGCAACAGGTGGATCTGTTATTGTTCTCCTGTAGATGTTTAGATTTACTGACCACTCACGGCAGAGCTGCTCTTGCTGTCTGCTGGGACACAGACCTTGTTGTTCATTCTTTTCTATTCTTAGCTTAGCTAGCCTTCTGAGAACTTTTTCTTCTATTTCTTTCTCGTATAGTTATAATGTAATATATATATCATAAGATAATAAATCAACATGAAGTCAACATTCTTGTCTCCTCTCTTCACCTGCAACCCTTGCAACAACTGTCACAGTTTATAAATTTATCTTAAATAATGCATGACTTTTGCTTACAGCTATGTGCCACTTGAATTCTTTGTTCTCCTAGAGGCTGAAGTCTGCTAACACAAGTTATTGAAATATGTTCTACACAAATGTTGCAGACAAAGCTTGAGCAGAACTTTTCAAGAGGTTTATTTTTGTGGCTGTCAGTGCTGATGTGACCTGGTCTGTACAGCAATTTGTACATAAATATGACAGCAGTTGACACATAGATGAGCAGTTCATGGAGTCCCTTTATTATTAACCACCATGTATTTTGGCAGCTGTGTATTTTAAGTGTAGCATGCAGAGTCCCAGGCAGTGCTGGTGCAAGGGGCAGTGCAGGTGTGTGTTCAATCCCCTGTCCTGTGTTGCAGAGGCCGGGCTGCGGGGCCTGCTGGGCGCCCTGACCAGCACTCCGTACTCCCCAACGCAGCACCTGGAGCGAGAGCAGGCTCTTGCCAAGCAGTTTGCAGAAATTCTTCACTTCACACTCCGATTTGATGAGCTCAAGGTAAGAGCTTGTGACCAGAAGGGCTAGAAAAAGAAGCCAAATGTGTTTGTTTGCTGAAGCAGTTTGGGTTGTGTTCTGTTCTGGAATAGAATGTGCAGCGGATACTCAAATATCCAATATGCTTGGCTTGCTCTTGTGACCTAGAGTAAGATCAAACTGGAATGCAGATGAAATATCATATTAGCTTTAGGCACTTGTGTTTCAGTTCACATTAATCATGTTTTTTCACCCAAATTTGGCGTATCTCTTGAGATAATGCTGCTGCTTTTAGCTTGTGTGCAGCCACAGTCCAGCTATTTTCTTGCTATATGCAAAGAACTAAGCTGAAATGGTAATTAATTTGCTGGTCTGATCCTTGGAGTCAAATTAGCAAAGCAATTTTTTCAACCTTCTCATTTCCAACTTGTATTTAGGAGATTGTTCCTTTTCTCATTCCTGTTAGAGCTTGTTCTGAATCTGAGAAACCAAAAAGCTTTGTGTTGTGCTTACAAGTTCTAAACATATCACAGGCCTTTTTGCTTCACTTCAGGAAGTTGAATATATTCTTGTTGGGTGTATAACATTTTATGAAAATTTGTCCTTACTTTCCTTGAATTTGTCTCAACTCTCTTGCTTCCGTATCCACATAGATGACAAATCCTGCTATACAGAATGACTTCAGCTACTATAGAAGAACTCTGAGCCGTATGAGGATTAACAATGTCCCAGTAGGTAACCCTTGGATAAGATGAAATTAATTCTGCTACCCCCTCTCTTCTTCATGTACAGAACAACTAAACCCTTTCTTCTGTTTTTTAGGCAGAGGGAGAAAATGAAGTAAATAATGAGTTGGCAAACAGAATGTCTTTATTTTACGCTGAAGCAACGCCAATGTTGAAAACCTTAAGTGATGCCACAACAAAGTTTGTGTCAGAGGTAAGAGTATAAACTTATGGCTTGGATAATGTACTTCACAGCACTGCAGGGCCAGACATAATGGGCAGCACAACCTCCTCCTGGCCTAATCTGGCATGTAGGAATAAAACTTGGGGTTTGGAGCCTCAAGAAATGTAATGTGTCCTTCCCAGATGTTGTAGAGTTAGGGACTCCAGCCAGGCACTTTGTGTGTGCATCCCCAAAATTTAATGAGTATTGTCACATAAGCAGTGATGGCTTTTCTCAAGCAGGGAGCTGGGACAGGTGTTTTGCCTGCACTGTGGTGGTGTTTTAGAGCAGAAATTTCAGAAAATTGAAAGGGAAACAGCTTGATTCTCTCTGCTTGAAATAAAGAATGGAATTGAAATGTAGCTTCCTCTTCTCCTTCTACTCTCCTGTGTGAAGTCAAGTATACTACATTATTGCAAAAGGGGGAAGGAGCCTGAACTGGAAAAGTATTTCAGCACCTTGACACATCCCTATTTATCCTTGACTACTAAGTAAATACTGGTTGTAAAATCCAATCAATGCAAGTACTGTGCTTGCCTTGTGATAATTGTGATGATTTTTGGCTTACATGCAAAGAATGCTCACTATTTCGTAGTAGAAAATAATTTTACATTACATGATTCATGCAAAGCTACATCTGTCTTTTAATGTTTTTTTTTCTTCTGAGTTCTGCTTTATGCTTGAAATGCCTTAAGAAAACTGTCCTCTTATTTTACAATTATTTGTGATTGTTGTCTGCCACAATTAAGTTTTGCTATTACAGCAGATGAATATATTTGGCTATAGAAATTTTTGTCTTTGGAGGAGCAGGTTAGATGATGATTCCTTCAAAACTTTCCAAAAGTCAATCATATCAAGGGTGTAGTTCCTTGGCTACAAGCAAGCAGGCAAAACCCATGTGGTAGCCTTTGCTCTGTAAAGTGCTAATCTATATGATAATATTTTTAAAAAACAGCACAAGACTACCTGACTCACCATAGTTGTTTTGATTTTTTTTTTAATTGCTCCACATTGCTATGCCAACAGATAACTGATTTGACTTAGGTTGTGTAGTATAATATTTCACAGTGATTGAGTTGTGGCAACTGTTCACCTTCTTTTGCAGAATAAAAATTTACCGATAGAGAACACAACAGATTGTTTAAGCACCATGGCCAGTGTGTGCAGGGTCATGCTGGAAACCCCGTGAGTACCAACACTGCTTGGGTTGGGTGTGAGTCACCTCTCTGCCTCAGACCTGATGTGTGATGCATGAAAGAAATGTAATTGGAGTGATTAGGAGCTGTGATGTTTCCTTTTTACCAGCCAAGTTGTTTACACTGACATGAAACCACCTTGTTTTGTTTTGCCAGCCACGGAAATCGTGTGGTCTACTTTTCTGAACATATTAATATTTAAAAATAAAATGACTATGGAAGCTAGACAACCTCTTGGCACTCTTTATAAGTGGTTTTGTCATGTATTATTCAGAGAAATAGGCTATTTGAGCATGATTGCCCAGGGTCTCCTGAAAGAGGGGCTGTGGGCAATGCTCTGGACATTGTGTCCTTGCTGACTGGCCTGGCTGATTGCTCTAGAAAATGACTGTGCTCCTCTCAGGGGAATGAAGAGACAACTTCTAGGCATGAAGGCAGTCAGTTGTCTTCTGTTTATTTGAGAGGCATTGAGAGTATGACCAAAATCACACTAATCTTTGATTATTTTTTTAAATCTGTTTCTTCTGTGTTCTAAATAGTTTTCTATTGGTAAAATTACTGGGGCATGATCCATGTCTTTTAAAATAAGTTTCTGTCCAAATACCGCAGGACATTTGTTTTGTAGTGCATTAAGAGCTCCAAGCATTTATACTCTTACTCTTCTTAGGAATTAATTCCATTTTAAGAAGCAGTTAAAGGTTGTCCAGTCACCTGCCCTTTTTTTTTCTAAGTCAGAAATTTGGGTGTGTATTAGAAGGTGACAGAGAAAAGTGTAGGAAGCACTGGAGACCAAGTTAGTATGTTTTAATCTTTTTCAAAATTAATTTTTTTTTAATTTAAAAATTTTAGAAACCTGTTGTTGTAGGTTTGCAAATTTTTATTAATCTTCAGGTAACTTTGTAAACAATCATCTGTCTTTTGAAAGGAATAACAAAAACTCACAAGTTTGATGTTTGTAGATTTGGTTGGGTTGGTTTGTTTTTTTTTTCCTTTTGAGGATTTATCATAGAATTTTTCTCTTTAATCTTAATTTGGGTATTACTAGTATGTACTGTTATCTTGTGTTTCATAGATAATAAGCTGTGTTTTTACATTCCAGTGAATATAGAAGCAGGTTTACAAATGAGGAAACAGTATCATTCTGTCTGAGGGTAATGGTGGGTGTCATCATACTCTATGATCACGTGCATCCGGTGGGCGCTTTTGCCAAAACTTCAAAAATTGATGTAAGTTTACTGTTGCGAAATAATCTCCTGAGTATTTAAATGGTCTGTAGGCTCCTTTTCTCTGTTGCAGATTTTAGTAGCAGATGTATACACTGGGTTGGTGCTAAACACATAGCTGTGAGCAAGGATGTATATTTCAGTAGTGAGAAATACAAACTAGGCCTTTTGGACATGTAAGTGGGTCATGAAAAATCTGTTTTTGTGTAGTTCTGGTAGTGTCCAGGAATACTTGTAAGCAGTGGTGGTGATGAAAGATCCAGATCAGAAAGTGACAATGGCCCCTGCCTTGTCCCTCACTGACTGGTGTATAGCTCAGTTCACCATCCACCACACTTTGAGTTTCTGACTTTCTACTGTTTTTGATAGTAAGCCTGTGGAATACATGCTGTTACTCTGTGGTTTTGTGGTTATTTCAAAGGGAGTATTATCCCACTGCATTAACTACAGTTGGTCATTATTTCACTGGCTGAATGAAATAATTCTTAATGGATTTATGATAAGCATGTATTTCTGCTCACAGTTCCATATTTTTTCTTTAAGGCTGATAAAGCAGAGCTTGAAAGTTGCATTCACTAAAGTTATCATAGAATGGTTTGGGTTGGAAGGGACCTTAAAGATCATTCAGTTCCAGGCCCCATCCATGGGCAGGGACACGTTCCACTAGATCAGGTTGCTCAGGGCCCTGTCCAGCCTGGCCTTGAGCACTTCCAGGAATGGGGCAGCCACAACCTTCAAAGCCATTCTCCCTCATCTAATCACTGCCTGCTCTTGTAAAATGTCCCTTTCCAGCTCTCCTGTAGCCCCTTTAGGTATTGGAAGGTTCTCTGAGGTCTCCCCAGATCATTCTCCATGCTGAGCAGCCCAAATTCTCTCAGCCTTTCCTCCCTGGAGAGGTGCTCCAGCCCTCTGATCATCTTCATGACCCTGCCTTGGACTCACTCTGGCACAGCCATGTCATTTTTCTGCTGGTGACACAGAGCTGGGTCCAGATGGGGTCTGAGCAGAGCACAGGTAGAGAATCACCTCCCTGCTGTGCTGGCCACATTTCTTTTGCTGCAGCCCAGGACAGTGTTGGCTTTCTGGGCTGCCAGAGCACTTTGCTGGGTCATGGTGAACTTCTCATCCAGCAGCTCCCCCAAGCCCTTCTCCTCTGGGCTGCTCCCAGTCCATTCCCTGCCCAGCCTGTGTTTGTGCTTGGGATGCCCTGAGCCAATGGCAGGACCTTGGAGTTGTTGAGCTTCACAAGGTTCACAGATCCCATTCTCCAGCCTGTCCAGGTCCCTCTGAATGCCTTCCCCCCGCCCCAGACTGTCAGCCACACACTCAGCTTGCTGTCATCAGCAAAGTTGCTGAGGATGCACTTGATGTAGCTTTTTAAGTAGCTAAACCAGTATGTGATAGGAAGATGTAATGCTGAAAGCTTAATTCCTTTTTAATATCCAGAAAATGTCTTTACACTGCTGCTATTTTTAAATACTTATTTTATACTGAATATAAAACATTCCTGTAAATTCAAAAGGTATTAGCATGGAAAAAACTAATTTTTTTAACTCCTAGATGAAAGGATGCATCAAAGTTCTTAAAGACCAGCCTCCTAACAGTGTAGAAGGCCTTCTAAATGCTCTCAGGTACTCCTTTTTGTTTCTTGGGTATTTTAATGTTTTGATGTGAGTTTTCATGAATTGTCCAGGTCATTTTCTTTGCAACAAAGTATTCAGTGACTGTTACAGGGAAAGGTGAATGTAATTATTGCAGGCTTTTCTTCTAATGTGTCCTGAGACAAGGATGTATGAAGAAGCCTCTGTGCTTTAACAGGGTTGTGAATTTGCAGTTGTTCATTCTAAGATAACCTTTTCCACGCATGCAGGTTAAGAATGAGTCATATGGCATGGTAAGTAACTAGAAATTGTTCCTTTTCAGAAAGAATTAAATCCCTGCTGTAGAATAGATGAGACAAGAATTTGCCACATTAATTGGAGAAGTAAAAAAAAAATTAATAATTCAGTATATTAAAACTAAAACCTGCTAATTTGGGTTGTAAAGCTGTATAGTCAGTCATGTCTTCATTGTGTGGGTGTCCAGCATGGGAGAAGTGGTAAAAAGTGCAAAAATGTGATAGACAGGTGAAGTCTCTGTTCTAGTCCATGCTTGGAAAAGTATCATTACTTTTGTAACAAATAACTGGAACTGGGTATTGTTACTTATATGCCTGCTTGGAATGAGGAAGCTTTAGTTTGTTTTGTGAAATTGTGCAGTTGTGATTTGTTTTCCTTATCTGTAGTGAAGCTGCTTTAATTTCATTTGCCGTCTTTTTATTTTTTGTGTCATGATGTCATAAGGAGTTAAATAATGTGGTATTGTAAGTGGGTTCATTTGTAAAGTTGGTTCAGATTATTAGTTAAAATTTGAAAAATCCATGCCTAATTTGAAACTTCATGTGATTATTTCCATGCTAAAATCATGTTCATCTCTGAGCTTCATAACATGATCAGTCTTTGAGATGGTCATCAGTAAAGACACAGGCTTCCAGAGGGAAAATGCTGCGTTAGCATTTATTTCTGACTAGTTTATTGTGATTGCAGCTGCCGTGATCACCAGTCTTTATTAGTAGCCCATTTTTCCCATTATTGCTGACACTGTGAAAGAGCATGGAAGGTGCACTTCAGGTGCTCACTGCACTAAGCAGTGACATTAACTTCTGGTTAATTGCACAATTAACTTCGTGGTTATCAGTGTAAATCCAGTCCATGCTCTCAAGCTGTGCTTTCCCTTTCCATGCATGGATGCTGTAACATTCCTGCTTTTGTACATTTGATTACTCTCTGGGTAGGATATTCAAACCTTTTCTAAGCCATGTTTGGAATTGTTAGGAAGAGATGCAGGGGTGAGCTGCTTTGTGCTCATATGATGAAAACAGGTTCAAGTTGTCATCATGACAAATTAAGTCCAAACCTAAGTCTTTGATTCTGGCAGACTGAGAATTTCTTGGGTTTTCCCAAGGGACAGATAATGTGTTTCAAAAATAAATGGAAGGTGGTATAGGGTTTTGGAGGGAGATCAGCTCTTTGTAATTTCAAATTCATCTGAGTATTGTAATCATGTTCAACTTTTTCACGTGGGCAGAATACCAAGTGCAATAACTTTTCAAGATTTCAGAAAATCTTAGGCTGCTTGTTCGTTGAATTACAAAAAGTGCTGAAATTTACAGTATTATTAACTTCCAAACTAAAAAGTCATTATATATTTATCAAGTGAACAAGTAAAGTAGTACTGCAGTTGTGGATAACAATAAAAGTGTTAATTTAACATGTTAAATTTAAAGTACAAAGTAAGTTTTATTTGCTTTTAGATGAGTTAGGAAGAAGGATCAGGAAAATTAATCACACAAAAATTCTGCAATGAGGATATCTTCTAAAAATAGATATAGCTAGGTTTTTTATATTGATTTAAAAGTGTGCTATTATCCTAGAGAATTTTGGAAGCTGAAATAAGTACATGTTTATGCTCTTTAGTGTTAGCAGCACAGTCACTTAACTAAGCAGGAAATTAGGTTGAAAAGTGATTAAATCCATTGCCATTGAGGGATTCTGGGAAGGTTTGGTCACTGGAAGTTTTGATGAAGAGTTTCTCAAGCTGTCTTATTTGAAGATGTTTCCTGTGGGCAGAGCCCCCAGAATTAGTCTGGCAGATAATTACCTGTCACCAGTGCTACTGTGAGCTTGCTGTGAAAGGCAGTGTCCTGCTGAGGCTTATTTTGAGCTCCCCTTGGTGCAAGGCTGCTAGATTCTAGTTCTGATTGGCACTATCATTTTCTGATCAGAATGTCTGACTTGTTTTCTCAGTGACGATGGAGTGGGTGATGATCCGTGGCTAAGGGTTTTGCTCTGTTACAGTCAGGTTGAGCCATAAACAAAGAAATTACACATTTGTAAGCTGAAGTGCAATAGCATTTATGCTCACCTTGACTTTATTTCTGTGTTTAGGTACACAACAAAGCATTTGAATGATGAGACTACCTCCAAGCAAATTAAATCCATGTTGCAATAACAATTACCTGGAATTCGCACCTGCTGTAGACAGTATTCTGCAATGACTGAGATGCACAGATTTTTTTTTTTAGTGATTGCAACTACTATCTCGTTCATTCTTGCTTTTTATTTTCTCTCTTCCTGTTTACTCTTTTTTTTAATCACTTCCTTGTACCTAAGTAAGCTCAGACTTCTTTTCTGTGCCAAATCAATGAAATTATCAATTCTGGAAAGTATTTCTACTTTTCAGAATAGCCATCCTAAGTGGCAGCTAATTATGCGTTGCATTTGGATTTCTCTGTACTGGGGAAAGATTTGTGACTTGAACTAAATATTTTTAAACTTGTGGTTTTTTTCTTTTTTTGAAAAACTAATATTTAATATTGCTTCTTCTGCATGGCAAGACTGCCTACTTCTGCTATTTAAAAATCCCTTGATGACTTCATTTTCTATTGCAGCTTATTTTCATGTGCAACCATGAGGAAACTAAAAGCAGATTTGTTTAAATTAACTGTGTTTGTACAAAATGGTACCCAACACAAAAGTTTTTTTAAATGAGTAAAAACTGTTTTGTTTAAAAGTTACGTTTGCATTTTGACTCATTTTTGTAAGGATGTATGTTGTATGTTTAACCTTTAATAACTAACGTTAAACTGTGGTGTGTGCGTAGCAAAATTACGTATGCATGTTCATGTCAAATGATTGGCTGTGGATAAGATAATAAAATCAGCTTTCATTTTTCTAAGTGTGGTTTGATTTACCAGTATTTTGAGTGAGATGTCTTCGTGCTCTTTGGATTTTTACAAAAAAATAAATTTATAAATTTTATATAGTGAAAACTCTGCTGTTTCATTACCAGTAACCAGTTGCCTAAGCCACTGATTTAAGCCTGGTGTGATTTAGGATTCTTGCTCTCCACTTTGTGCTGCTTTCCTCTCCCTGAGAATTATTACTCAGGTAGGATTTGTGATGAGGAACTTGGTGCAATCCATATAGATCCCAGTGGGAATTGCTGAAGAGCCTGCATCCAGGCTACCCATGCTGCCTCCTTATAGAGCCGTCAGAAATGACTCTGCACACTGGGCTCTCTCCACACCAGGAGTGGGAAATGAACTCCCCTTGCTGTGTACTGCTGTGTTCTCCTATGGATCTAGGTATTTGTACTGTGTAAAATCTGAATAATCACAGCACACTAAATAATGGTTCTTCTTAGGGAAACGATTTATAGCAACAAGTCTTATATAAGTTGGTGAAAAAATTAAAGCTCTTTTGGGAGGGAAAGGATTGAAGGGGAAAAGTTACACCCCTTCCAAAGGATTTTGGCAGTTTGAAGAGATGGACAGAGAGGAACTGTTTGAAATTCAGCAAAGGCAAATGCGGGGTCCTGCACCTGGGGAGGAACAACCCCAGGCACCAGCAAGGCTTGGGCTGACCTGCTGGAGAGCAGCTCTGTGGAGAAGGAGCTGGGCGAGAGCAGCTGTCCCTGAGCCAACAGTGCCCTGGGGGCCAAGGCCAGGGCTGTCCTGGTCTGTGTTAGGGGGAGCACTGCTAGCAGCTCAGGGAGGGGATCCTGCCCCTCTGCCTCACCTGGAGTGAGGGCTCCAGTTCTGACCTCCTCAGGACAAGGCAGACTGGGAGCTCCTGCAGTGGGTCCAGCACAGGGTCTGGAACATCTCTCTCACAAGGCAAGGCTGGGGGAGCTGGGCCTGTCCAGCCTTGGGAAGAGAAAACAGAGAGGGGACCTCATCGATGTCTGTCTGTCTGTAGGGAGGTGTCAAAGGATGAATCAGGCTCTGCTCAGTGGTGCCCAGCAATAGGACAAGAGGCAATGGGCAGAAACTGATGCACAGGAAGCTCCACCTGAATATAAGGAAGAATTTCTTTACTGTGTGGGTGACTGAGCACTGGCACAGATTGTCCAGAGAGGATGTGGATCCTCCTCACAAGACACACATGAATTGTCTGGACACAATCCTGTGCCATGTGCTCTGGGATGACCCTGCTTGAGCAGAGAGGTTGATCCAGATGACCCACTGTGGTCCCTTCCAGCCTTACCCATTCTGGGATTCTGTGAGAACCAGAATTGAGAATGACTGGAAAACTCTGGAAATGGCATGTTTCGCACTGATGAGCAAACATGAGCACTCCTTGTGTGGCACCATTGTGATTATGCCTAACATGAGTTGTCAGGTTCTAAACCTGCAGGCAAGGGTGACAGCTCTCAGTCTTATTTGGTGGACAAGTAATGTTTTGTAACTTTGCATAGCATGCTGGCTCCAGGTAGAATGTGTGATTTCCTATGGATATTCCTTCTGCACCATTAAGAAATGTTTTTATCTTCTCTTTGTTTTGAAAAGATCTGCAAAATTGTAATTCATGACACTTGAAGATTTTGAAAGAGGTTCAGGTGTGTGCTATGGATATCTGCATGCCCATCTCTCTTAGGGCAATACATTTTTTCTTTCTGGCCAAAGATGCTTAGCCAAGGTCTCTGTCACAGAGAAACCAACCCATGTGCTTTGCTGGCCTCAGGAATAAAATACTCTTGCTTTGACATGATTCTTCTCTGGTCCTTTTGGCAATATCACAGTTGAAACAAGCTGAGGAAAGACAGAACTGGATTTGTTCGGGGTTTTCAAAAAGGGGAAAAAAACCCACTTTTCCAGAATCATGTGAATGCTACAAACTGTATACAACTGACCCTTCTGCAGGGATCTGAAAGGGAAACTGTCCTCATCAGCTCATCACCCTGAAGAAAAAAATAATAATTTACTGTCAGCCTTGTTGCTGTGAATACAGTTAAGGAATAATAATCCCAGGAGGAGCAAATCATGCTCCTTCCAGTATTACTTTTTGTAAGTAAAGCTTTCTAATGGAAAGCTAATTTACAGAGAATGGGTTTTAAGCACGACTTCTGTATTTGACAGTTTTTACTTCTGATTTGATTGAAAAACACTTGAAACAGTAAATCAGGCCTGAGGCTGTTGTGGCAGAACCAGCCATACAGCAGATTTCTTCTTTGTCTTGCCTCAGTGGCTGCTGCCTAAAACAACACAATTTCTTCAGTCAGCTGTTTTGGACAGATCTTCCTTTCTGCTGCCCCGACGGCATCTTTGCTTTTAGACATCGCTGTTCTTGTGGTCTGAGAATAATTGGAGCTTTCCTTTTTTTCCTCTGGCATTTGTAGTTTTGCAGTTTCTCTGTGTACGCAGCTGGGACCAGAGATTAGAGCTGGCTTGCCTTGGCGTTGTCTGGCCCAGTGCTCCACAAGCTTCCCCAGTTGTGAGGTTTCCAGGAAAACAGGCTTTTCCAATGCACCAGGCATCAGCTGTTTGAAGTTTTGAGCTGAACCTGCTGTGTGTTCCTGCTCAAGCTTTGCTGTTTGTTCCTTGCAGAACCATCTTGCCCTCTTTGTTTTACCTGTGCCAGTGGACAGGAGAGCAGCTGGCAGGCCTGGCACTAAGTATGGGTCACTGAACAGCCTCCATGTAAGTTTTGGGGGGAAATTTGCCCTGTTTGGATGGCACCACCCTGTTGTGTGCGATAGCCTGTGATTTTGGAGGGCTGGGCTGGCTAGCACTCAATGGTTAAAATAAATGCTGGGCTCAAATTAGCCACCCTCCCTGTGCTGTGAGCTAGTGTAACCAGCCTGTGGCTGTTGTGGATGAAAGGCCTTCTGCTCATGGTGCTGTGTCTCTGAGTGTAAACAATGTTGCTCCTTTCTTGCAAGCTTCAGATTCCAGGCACAGATGGGTCTCTGGGGGACACATCTACAGTGGTGTGTGTGATGTGTGTCACAGACAGTAGAGACTGCATGGCTGACAGTGTGTGCCATGATTGGAGCAGATCTGGAAAAGAGGACCCTGAAATGGGCTAGGAGCATTCCTGTGCAAACATCTCATTCTGGATGAACTGTCCTCTGGCTCTTTCTCCTGGCTTGCACAGCCAATGCCAGCAGGTATTTGGAGCAGGGATGTGATTACTCTTCAGTCTGCTGCTTCACTTGAAGGTTGCTCATCTTCCTTTTATTAGGGTTTGCTAAGCTTGGTGTTGTCTTTCTGTCCCTGCAAAGATTCAGTCTGGTGAAATAACTAGCAAGGAGTAGTTGAGGCAGTTGCTGTGAGTTTAAAGCTAATTGCAAGATTTGAGTGTGTCAGTGGGAAGTTCACTTTGATGGTTCCCTGGGTGCTGCAAACGTGTGATCACAGGTCCTGTTGGATGCAGGAGGCATCTCTGAGGGTGCCATTTTTGGCTGTGCTGATGGGATTGCTTATTTTTCAAAATCTTGTGAAATAACTCTGTGGAGCAGCTTCTTTTGTCAAAACAGAAAACAAGCTCTAAATTACCAAGCTTCTTGCTCCTTCTTGCCCTTTTGGACTTTTTACCAGCCTAAGGAAAGTGTTTTGAGCCCTTCTCCCAAGACCAGTAAAATGCCTGCTGGCAGATCACAGTAGCATCTCAGGGGCAGTGGAGCAAGGACTGAAGCAATCCCAGGATAAAGTTCATGGTATCGATTTGCATATGAATTTTGTAATGAATTGCTGTCACACAGGACATTTAAAATCTGGTGATTGCAACCAGCTTGATGTGATCAGGCCAGTGGTCTGCTTCCCCCTGTGCTAATGACCCTTTCAGGCTGGTTTCACCCTCAGTTTTATTACTGTGGTAAAGCTGACTGGGCAGGGTTACCTCCTGTGTCAAGGTTACAACAAAGGGCTCTACCTGATCAGGTATAAACTGACCACTCACATCTGTGCAGTGCTGTGGACTCTGTCACAGCTGGAGCAGTGAGAAGTGGCCCTTTGTGGGGTTCTGTGGGCCACTGGTGAAGTTACCAAGTTACTGCACGTGTGTTACAAATGACAAGATTTGACCAAGTGATAGAATCAAGTTTTCTCAAGGTGATCTGCCAGATTAAGCACTGGTTTTTCTGATCTGAGCATATACATGTGCTGCAGAAAGATGTCAGATACAGCTGACACTGCTGAATCACTTGAACCTTTAGATGTTTTATTATGTGGATTCACTGCTCTATTTCACCAGCAAGTGCTGGTGTGCATGGTAGGCTGGTAAAAAGTTACACAGACTTGGTGTGTCCTGAACAAGCTTCCTGAGGCTGCTGATGTATGTCAGTGGTCCTGGAGCTCCCAGGGCTACACTTGAAGGCTTTCCTCAGTTGCCCTGCTCAGTCATGTGTTTTACAGCTGCAGCTTGACCCAAGACCCTCTGTTTTCCTTTTGAAAGCATTCATGTTACCTGCCTTATTATATGCACATGTGTTGGTGCTGTCAGTTATCTTCCATGTGTTTCTAAGGAATTATTGAGGACAGGTCTTAGGATGGCTCATGAGACCTCAGTTTGTGCAAGAGGAGTTGGAGAAATTCAGAAGGTGTATGTGTCTTCTCCCTGTCATGCTGTGAACTGCAGCAGTCTGCTACCCGCTGCAGGCTCCTGCCCCAGGGCCCTGCATTCCCTGCTCATGCTGGAGCCCTGTCCCAGAGCCAGCACTTACTGCAGGGATCAGAGGTGGCCAGTAGCTGAGGGGAGGAGTTACAAGCACCTGCTGACCATGATGGTGAAGTGAGATACAGGACTGCTGTGCCCTGTCCTGGTTCCTGCTGTGGGGTTCCCTTATTAGAGGTGACAAATTCCTGTTTGGAAAGTCCCTAGAGGAGTGGCTTCTTGCCATTCACGGTGTATCAGTGATGTCCCCATCTTTAGAAGCAGGGAGAGCTCCTGCTGCCG